AACACCAAGATAGTGTTTTAAAAGGGTGTTTAGCCACCCCGAGCAGCCAGAACATCTTCAATGTGCCTTAACATAGATTCTACAAGTGGACCTAAACCATACCAGGAAAAATACACCACACCATGACATGTTTGTATCCCTCATTTACTCAAGTGTTTACTTTATTTTGGCAGTTACATGTTGCCCGCGATGGGAAGGGCGGGCCAGCATGCACGTCACATATACAGCCTGTTGCATTGTGGCCATAGACATATAATCCATAGAAGGGTTTTGGAATTTCTTACCCTGGCAATTTGACTATTAAACTGATGAGTACACTTGCAATGGCTGCCAGTCCTGACCTGAATGGAAAGAGAAGACTGATCTGTCTGTAGAACCAACAACTCTACATTTTTTTGCGAACAGCAGCACTGTTTTTCAAAGTAGCTCATCTTGAGATAGGCTGTTGCCAAGAGTGTGCAAAGCTGTCATCAAGGCAAAGGGTGGCTACTTTGAAGAATCTCAAATATAACATATATTTTGATTTGTTTAACTCTTTTTGGGTTACTACATGATTCCATATGTGTTATTTCATAGTTTTGATGTCTTCACTATTATTCTTGCAACGCCAGGGTTGTGGGTTCGATTCCCACGGGAGGCCAGTATGAAAAATGTATGCACTCACTCAACTGTAAATTGCTCTGGATAAAAGTATCTAGTAAATGTAACCACTCCTTTTGGTCATTTGTGTGGTATTAAAAAAAATTCAGCTAATGTCTTCTACCATGTAAATGACGTAGAGTTGCATGAAATGTGTTTCATCAAAAAAAATTCTGGACTCTTAACAAATGTTCCCCATGTGTGGAAATCTTAAAAACGCCTCTGCTCAACTGTAGCCTATGCTTCATTGCAAATTTGATTATTGCTTTATTATAAAGGGTATTTTTCTTCAACAGTAAATTTACCACGCATCGAATTGCATCTTGGTGCACAGATTTGTTTACAGAAATTACGGTGTGCGGGGGCTATAAAAAAAAAAGCAAAACCCCCGGGCCTATGATTTCTTAATCTGGCCCTGGGAATGCGGTTGCAACAATGTTATGTAGGGCCTACTGAAATGCTGCCATTTCTCACCCACACTCACAGCCACAGACAGCTTTACAAAATGTAACAGCGACCTCCTGTGGTCACCAATGATCAGGACATACTGTACGGTTCACAAACCTTTTCTAGGGACTGAGATTACGTATCACAGTTACATAAATGACAGTTTGACATAATGAAAAATCTATTGTATTTGAGAGACATTAGAAAGAGACACTATTGACCATACATTGTTTTGTATAGCACTTTTCAGGAGCTGTTTACAGGCAAAATACACAAAGCATCAACACAATAATACATATTAGCAATAGTCAATATAATCGAGACAAACAGTTCAAAAGAGTACATACCATTATAGTCTTGTGGCAGACTGACATACCTTAAATAACCTCCCATGTTATTGGTAATGGTAAAGAGGTTAGCATTTTGTATTTTTAATTCATGATTAATTCATGATTATTCATAATCATGGTAGCATTCACATTCACGTATAAGTGTTCAGAAACATATTCTAATCTTATTTACAGTAAAAGTGACTCCAAAATGACACAATCAATTATTCACCATTTAGTTATTATTGGTCAAAACACAATCCGAAACACAACCAAAACAAACTGCAAATGCATCCAACAAGTTTTTTGAGTCACAAGCTTGATATAGTCATTGCGTGCTATGAATATGGGACCATATACTAAACTTTTGACTACTTTAATACACTATAAATGAATTTGTTCAAATACTTTTGACTTCTTCAAATGGGGGACTAGATACATAAAGTGATTTCATTTCTAATCGGTAAAACAGATACAGTGCTATGAAAAAGTATTTGGCCCCTTTCTAATTTTCTCTACTTTTGCATATTTGTGATACTGAATGTTATCAGATCTTCAACCAAAACCTAATATTAGATAAAGGGAACATAAGTGAACAAATAACACAACAATTACATATTTATTTCATAAACAAAGTTATGCAACACCCAATTCCCCTGTGTGAAAAAGTAATTGCCCCCTTACACTCAATAACTGGTTGTGCCACCTTTAGCTGCAATGACTCCAACCAAAGGCCCACTCTTCCATGCTGAACTGCTTTAACTCAGTGACGTGTGGGTTTTCAAGCATGAACTGCTCGTTTCAAGTCCTGCCACAACATCTCAATTGGGATTAGGTCTGGACTTTGACTAGGCCATTTCCAAAACTTCCAATTTGTTGCTTTTTAGCTATTTTCATGTAGACTTGATTGTGTGTTTTGGATCATTGTCTTGCTGCATGACCCAGCTGCGCTTCAGCTTCAGCTCACAGACGGATGGTCTGACATTCTCCTGTAGAATTCTCTGATACAGAGCATAATTCATGGTTCCTTCTATTAAGGCAAGTCGTCCAGGTCCTGAGGCAGCAAAGCATCCCCAAACCATCACACCACCACCACCATGCTTGACCTTTGGTATGATGTTCTTACTGTGGAATGCAGTGTTTGGTTTTCGCCAGGCATAATGGGACCCATCTCGTCCAAAAAGTTGACTCAAGTTTGCCAAAAAGCACCTGGATGATCATCAAGACTCTTGGAAGAACGTTTATGTGGACAGATGATTCAAAAGTATAACTTTTTGTAGACATTACTGTAGTATTTACTATAGTATTTGTGTTTTAGTATCTTTGACAGAAGTGGAGGCTTCTGGAAACCTACTGGAAAAATACTAAAAGAGCACACTTTCCATAACTTGTAAGTAGGTAGGACTGAGGTCTGAAGAGATAGTTTAGAGCTTTTGTTCTTTTCTATAACCTGTAGGGAACACAATATATTATGGTATGTAGGTTTCTCACTTATGGGTGGCACAAATTGCGATATTGGGGAGGGGAATGGGCAGGGTATATGCAAATTAAATATAGTGTTCTACAGTATACTACAACATTCTATAGTAAGTACTATACATGATCGAGGGATACTACAGTCTGTAGTATAGTATTCTACAGTATACTACAGTTTACTATAGAATTCTATAGTAAGTACTGTAGTATTCTATAGTAAACTGTAGTCTTTTTTCTCGTGGGTGATGCCAATAAACATGAAGAATTAAGATCACCTTATACAGTGGGGAAAAAAAGTATTTAGTCAGCCACCAATTGTGCAAGTTCTCCCACTTAAAAAGATGAGAGAGGCCTGTAATTTTCAACATAGGTACACGTCAACTATGACAGACAAATTGAGGAAAAAAAATCCAGAAAATCACATTGTAGGATTTTTAATGAATTTATTTGCAAATTATGGTGGAAAATAAGTATTTGGTCACCTACAAACAAGCAAGATTTCTGGCTCTCACAGACCTGTAACTTCTTCTTTAAGAGGCTCCTCTGTCCTCCACTCGTTACCTGTATTAATGGCACCTGTTTGAACTTGTTATCAGTATAAAGACACCTGTCCACAACCTCAAACAGTCACACTCCAAACTCCACTATGGCCAAGACCAAAGAGCTGTCAAAGGACACCAGAAACAAAATTGTAGACCTGCACCAGGCTGGGAAGACTGAATATGCAATAGGTAAGCAGCTTGGTTTGAAGAAATCAACTGTGGGAGCAATTATTAGGAAATGGAAGACATACAAGACCACTGATAATCTCCCTCGATCTGGGGCTCCACGCAAGATCTCACCCCGTGGGGTCAAAATGATCACAAGAACGGTGAGCAAAAATCCCAGAACCACACGGGGGGGCCTAGTGAATGACCTGCAGAGAGCTGGGACCAAAGTAACAAAGCCTACCATCAGTAACACACTACGCCGCCAGGGACTCAAATCCTGCAGTGCCAGACGTGTCCCCCTGCTTAAGCCAGTACATGTCCAGGCCCGTCTGAAGTTTGCTAGAGTGCATTTGGATGATCCAGAAGAGGATTGGGAGAATGTCATATGGTCAGATGAAACCAAAATAGAACTTTTTGGTAAAAACTCAACTCGTCGTGTTTGGAGGACAAAGAATGCTGAGTTGCATCCAAAGAACACCATACCTACTGTGAAGCATGGGGGTGGAAACATCATGCTTTGGGGCTGTTTTTCTGCAAAGGGACCAGGACGACTGATCCGTGTAAAGGAAAGAATGAATGGGGCCATGTATCGTGAGATTTGAGAGAAACCTCCTTCCATCAGCAAGGGCATTGAAGATGAAACGTGGCTGGGTCTTTCAGCATGACAATGATCCCAAACACACCGCCCGGGCAACGAAGGAGTGGCTTCGTAAGAAGCATTTCAAGGTCCTGGAGTGGCCTAGCCAGTCTCCAGATCTCAACCCCATAGAAAATCTTTGGAGGGAGTTGAAAGTCTGTGTTGCCCAGCGACAGCCCCAAAACATCACTGCTCTAGAGGAGATCTGCATGGAGGAATGGGCCAAAATACCAGCAACAGTGTGTGAAAACCTTGTGAAGACTTACAGAAAACGTTTGAACCTGTGTCATTGCCAATAAAGTGGGTATTAACAAGTATTGAGAACTTTTGTTATGTACCAAATACTTATTTTCCACCATAATTTGCAAATAAATTCCATAAAAAACCTACAATGTGATTTCGGAAAGTTTTCCTACATTTTGTATTCATAGTTGACGTGTACCTATTGATGAAAATAACAGGCCTATCTCTTCTTTTTAATTTGGTAGAACTGCACAATTGTGCTGACTAAATACTTTTTCCCCCACATTATATGTTGAACTAAACATTGCATGTTTGGTGCTTTATGTGATGCTTATTTGAAAAATTCTATCTCAAAGGACTTGCATCATAAATATCCTATTGGTCCTATTTTGCAGATCTCCCTAACAAAATAATGGATTGTTGAAAAAACCGACACATATATCTAAAGGACGCACGCTTTGAATTTCCACACAACTTACAGTAGAATACAAGTTCAAGTATAGGTTATCCATCTGTAATATGGGGGGACTGACTCAGACCCTGGTGCTGCTGTGTCTGTCTGGGACTCAGACGCTCAGTGAAGATGCTGGAGAAGTCAACCTGAATGACATCATGGCACAGATTCAGCCTGAACAGGCACAGGGCATAGAGAGTGAAGTTCTTCTCAGATCCAAACACCAGCCCTAGCCAAGACAATCAGTAGCTGCCAGCAAAACATGTGTAACCTTCTGATGGAACTAGGAACCATGGAAGCCAGACTAATAGCTGCGGCGCACCCGGTGGAAGAACTGAGGAACATGGAAGCTACTGTTGCTCTCCTACACAGAGAGACTGAATGTAATCTAAAGCAAACTAGAAAAAACCTAAGCCTATATGTTGTTTGAAGTCCAAAAGACAAACAAAGCTGCAGTAGTAGGTCAAACTGTGTGCTTGAAAACCTTGGTAGATTATGGGGGAAGTTAGGCCTTGTGGTGCTCAAGTGAATAGTTTTTCTTTTTGGGCTTCAGACCAGCCTAACTTCTTACTTAAGACATTGTTTTTGTGATTAATAGTTCAAGCAGCTGAGCTCAGAGCCATGGAGACCAAGTTGAACACCAGCGAGAGCCTGATGAAGAGCATGAAGAGAGAGAATGAAGGTCATTTACATTTGTATTCTGTCTGAATTGGTGCAGTAGCTATGGCGTGAAGTGACATAATCGCTAAGACCAACAAAGAATAGTTTGTCTGTTTTTGGTAATACATTTGTTCAAATTCCTGTTTTCCAGTTCAGGAGAGGAAGCTTCAATTATTTTCATTAAGGGCCAACACCACTGAGTTCAGACTCAGAGTGGAGGAACAACAAACCCTGCTGGATGAACTGAGAAGATAGATAACATCAACTAGCCAACAATTACAATGTGGGTAACAAACTACTGGAAAACAGTGTGTGAAACCATATGCATGCCCTATTCTTCATTGGGAAAATATTAATTTTAAATGACCAAATTCATTCCCAGACACAGATTAAACCTAGTCCTGGACTAAAAAGTGCTTTTTAGACCAGCGCTAGGCTTAATCTGTGTCTGGAACATCGGCCCAAAACGTTCAGTTGGCATTGACCCTGATTGCCTCTCTAACCCTTACTATTTCTCATTGACAGACCAAATATTGCATTTACAGCAGCAATAGGAGGAGATGGTCATATACCGCCCTCTGTGAGAGAAACCAACCTGGATTTCAGCAATGTCTTCACAAACGTTGGCGATGCCTACAACCCTGCATCAGGTAAAGAGTTGGAAGACACTATGGAAGAACTATCAAAGTGGTTGCGAAAAGAGTGGTTGCATCCCAAAAATCTCTCCTATATCCTGAAATGCGCACTCGTTCACTACTCCCCACAAACTTAAAAGCATTGGATGGGTGTAGGCATAGGCTAGAGGGAGATTCCATATATTAGTCATATCCTTTCAAATCCATGAAAGGAAGTGAACAAGTGTACACTTTGGGAGAAAGAAGAGATTATTAGGGCGCAACCAGTGCCTCATACTAACCCAACGCAACCTTCATTAGCACTATCAACATTATGTGTGCTTAAATCGACAACCACATGTTGACACTGAGGCACTGAATGACAAATCTACAGTAGCAAAAGGCACACATCAGTTGCAAAGTTTTAATTACACCCATGCACAGTATAATATATGTTTCTTGTTATAGTTGCTTCTGACCTCATCTCTCCCTGCTACTCCTCTGATACAGGTGACTTCTGACCTCATCTCTCCCTGCTACTCCCCTGATACAGGTGTCTTCTGACCTCATCTCTCCCTGCTACTCCTCTGATACAGGTGACTTCTGACCTCATCTCTCCTTGCTACTCCTCTGATACAGGTGACTTCTGACCTCATCTCTCCCTGCTACTTCTCTGATACAGGTGACTTCTGACCTCATCTCTCCCTGCTTCTCCTCTGATACAGGTGACTTCTGACCTCATCTCTCCCTGCTACTCCTCTGATACAGGTGTCTTCTGACCTCATCTCTCCCTGCTACTTCTCTGATACAGGTGTCTTCTGACCTCATCTCTCTCTGCTACTTCTCTGATACAGGTGACTTCTGACCTCATCTCTCCCTGCTACTTCTCTGATACAGGTGACTTTCTGACCTCATCTCTCCCTGCTACTCCTCTGATACAGGTGACTTCTGACCTCATCTCTCCCTGCTACTCCTCTGATACAGGTGACTTCTGACCTCATCTCTCCCTGCTACTCCTCTGATACAGGTGACTTCTGACCTCATCTCTCCCTGCTACTCCTCTGATACAGGTGTCTTCTGGTCTCATCTCTCCCTGCTACTTCTCTGATACAGGTGTCTTCTGACCTCATCTCTCCCTGCTACTCCCCTGATACAGGTGACGTCTGACCTCATCTCTCCCTGCTACTCCCCTGATACAGGTGACGTCTGACCTCATCTCTCCCTGCTACTCCTCTGATACAGATGTCTTCTGACCTCATCTCTCCCTGCTACTCCTCTGATACAGGTGTCTTCTGACCTCATCTCTCCCTGCTACTCCTCTGATACAGGTGTCTTCTGACCTCATCTCTCCCTGCTACTCCTCTGTCTTTGATGCGCCAGTGAGACGAGTCTGCTACTTAATCTTCTCATCATTTGCCAAAAGTTAGCACAACGTCTGCAACAGTCTGTTTAAGAACAATAGGCGCATGTTGTCTGCGTGTGATCATCAAACAGAGAATGATAGATCCAACAGCTCGGGTAATGGAGGGACTCTACATCTAGAACAGGGAGATCACATATATTTGCCAGCGACGAAAAGCACAGCACATTCAGGGGCTTCCTGCTTTTTAGAGCATGAGGATAAATCCCATAAAAACACATAGGTTGTGCCTCAAATGGCACACTATTCCCTATTTAGTGCACGACCCATATAGGGAATAGCAGGGTGCCATTTGGGATTTCCAACTAAAATGATCAAATCAGTAGAACTAATAATAAATTGACATTTTTTTCTACATAACTTTGATGCTAATTAACAATTTGTTCAATAAATATGCAATAAGTGTTCGGTTGTGAGTTGTGTGGGGGGAAAAATGAATTAAATCTGTCCAAACCTCGTCTGAGGAACGCTCTGTAATGTTTTGTGACATAAAATATGGAATTTAACTTGAACAATTATGGAATAAATCTTAGACATTGTCAAATGATTCCAGAGTTAGTGTATGAAAGGTGTGTGACATAAAATATGGAATTTAACTCGAAATATGGAATAAAATGGAGTCCTAAATGTTTGTGGGTATAATACTTTACACTACCCATGATGCAGGCCTTTTTACTAATTTTACAAATTGACATAGGCATTATAGATGTATGGATTGGTCTTTGTCTTGGTTGATCATTTTGTTTGGGTAATTTGTTCTATACACTAGACTAAGAGCAACTTGTTGCTCATGGTGGCTGCTGAGTTCCTATTACACTGTCAATGCAATAATGATATGATATTTTATTTCAGAGAGCAAAGATCCTTGGTGTCTATAGGTCACTTTGTAGGTGTGGTTTGTAATGGTGCTTGAGACTAGCCCTTGATCATGACTCCAGTTCCATTACGGTACACGTAAGTCATTGGACGAATCATCTTCTGTACGGGTGAGTTTTGTTAAGATCCCCGGCGCTCGGTCTGAACATTAACATGCATCGCTTGTGGAATGATTTTGGAAGCATAAGGACATTATCTGAGAAATAATTTTCAAAAAAACAAAAGGTTTAATTTATACACACCTTTAAAGGGTTAGGGTAGTGTTCCCACACAGCCATATCTCTGTCACACCCTGGCAATGGGACTCTAGTTGTTGAGCCAGGGTGTGTTTGTTCTATGTGGTGTGTTTCTATGTTGGGGGTTCTGGTTTGTTGTTTTCTGTGTTTGCCTTAGTGACTCCCAATCAGAGGCAACGAGTGTCAGCTGATCGTTGGTTGTCTCTGATTGGGAGCCATATTTAAACTGTCTGTTTTTCATTCGGGTTTGTGGGATTTTGTTCATGTTGGTTTGTGTTACCATAGACGTCACGCATTCGTTGTTTATTGTTTTGATCGTGTGATCATTTAATAAATATAATATGTTCACCTTCGACGCTGCGCATTGGTCCTCCTCCTTAGACGATCGTGACAATCTCCACGTTACAGCGCTTGTTTACAGAAGACAGACGGAAAACAGAGCTAGGTATCAAGGTCCTACCATAAAGTAGGAGAGGCAATAAATCGGCATGAACACTAACAGGAACTATTGTTCTGTGATCCGATATCAAGTCCCTATAAAAAAGTAGGAGAGGCTATAAACCGGTGTACACTATAAATCATCATGCACAGAGCTCAGTATCTTTGCTGTATCAGCAACTATTGTTCTGGGTACTCATCCTGCTTCATATTGAGAACTACCACATAGGTAAGTAGATTTTTGAATTCATCAATTGTAAAATGCTTCTGCTGCAGGTGCAGCATGCCTTATTGATTACAGAGGGATGTTTTAGCTGCGACTGACAGATATTAAAAAAGTGCAGATGCAACGTTTGCAGAGTGGTTTACCCGTAACTGGCCACATCCAGAAACAACCTCTAGCCCCTACACTCTAGGCACTTCATAGATCTGACATAAATGGGTGAAGGCAAAATGCCCTCTAAAACATTGTAATGGGGTTGCCATGATTTTGACTTACAGGCAGCTCAGTGGCAAGTAAAATTCAGTATTTCATATTACAGTACACTTACTGTAATATCAATACAGATTCAAAGCAAGTACTGTGTAATGAACAGTACAATACAGTAAAAATGAATGTATTATACGCTATAAAAAATTTGTCAATGCTAGCGTAATCGGAATGAGTAAATGAACGAATGGATGAATGAAATTCATTGAGGTTAGGGTGTTTGTATTTTACAGTATTTTACTGTAATTACAAGGGATTGGTGCAAGCAGGTTGGCTGCTATGTAAAGTGTTTACACATTACAGCATATTAATGAATATCTGGTGTTTTATGTCACTTGCACTTCTAGAGGCCTTAACAAAGGATTCCAAACTGGCAGCGACTACAGGGCAAAACAGACCCAAAGGACATGGCAAAATGCTCATGTCGATTGATGCACCGGTGCATCAATATAAGTAACATAAAAAAAGCTTATATTTACAGTGGTTAATACTTGCTGCAATTGGGCACTATAACCACATAGGATCTAAATTGGCACAGCATTCTCACTCACGGGTGCAACACATATAGCCTCTTACAAGCCACGGCTCAAAATATGTTAATGAGCCAGAAACAACAATACCATGCACCCACTAGTGGTCAAAAGGTTTTTTGCGCTCCAAAGATACAGTATGTTACTGTATTCTGTGGGGTAGACTAACAGTACCATTCGAAACACAGCAATTCTTTCCCCGCCCACAACATTTTCCCACAATGCACCGTAATTTACAGTATGATGCAGTAAAACGTCACAGAGTATTTTACTGTTGATAATACCCAGAATTACTGTATAAATGACAGTTTTCAGTTACAGTGTAGGCTATGTGGAACTTTGGCCATACCTATCCTATACTTTCAGATCTACACAGATCCTAGGGGCTAGAGGTTGTTTCTGGATTGAAACTCTGTGTTCTGATTATACGCAACCCAACCTACAGATGAAAACGAGCCCAGGGCAAGAGGTTGAGTCGATGTAACCTCCCCCACGCAAGCCCAATGAGTCCGAGCGTGTTCTCCTCATATCAATCGTTTTTCCACCATTCATTTTTCCCATGGGGGATTTTAGAAACACATAAAACAAGGGCTGTGTTTCATGTAGGCTAACCCTGGAGTGACGTTTTGATAACCATGTAAATCTCTTTCGGACAAGGTGACTTTTATCAATATATTCAGCTCTATTTACTCTCAGATTCGAAAATGTTAATTAGCATCAAAGTAGACATCATGCAAAACTACAAATCCCTGCAAGCTCCTGCACGTCATCTCTAGAATGTTCACAGAATTGTCAATTGAAAGAAATTTAGCCAATGTATTCATTTCTACATTTAGCTAAAATTAGATAGTTAATCCAGAGATTCTTACCTTTACCTCGATTCGGCAGTCTCATCCAGATCAACATGGCATCTGTAGTTCTTTAAGATAGCCACATTAGCATTTCATTTGTTGGGGGTAAATACAGATGAATATATTGATAAAAGTCACATTGTCAGAGAGAGATTTACACGGTTATCAAAACGTCATGCCAGGGTAAGCCTTCACGAAACACTGCCATCATTTTTTGTGTTTTTTTAGTGAAAAATGAATGGTGGAAAAATGATGGGAACCATTTGACCGCTAGGTTTTATGGGTATTATGACTCATTCTGAGGTACTCTATTCTGTACTATGCTCGTCTTTCTCTATTGTTGATGTGATTGAAACCAAATAGCTACCCGTAGTGGTGACCTGGAATAACCTCAACTTTCTGAGACCACACCTTAGCACAGGTGGCTATTGAATTGTTTGTCTACCTTCCATGGCTGCGGTACGATTCTCTTCCCTTCTCCAGAAGTGTGCACTTTACTTCCATTTTAATCATTTAGCAGACGCTCTTATCCAGAGCGACTTACATGAGCAATTAGGGTTAAGTGCCTTGCTCAAGGGCACATCGACAGATTTTTCACCTAGTCGGCTCGGGGATTAGAACCAGCGACCTTTCGGTTACTGGCACAACGCTCTTAACCACTAAGCTACCTGCCACCCCACATGCATTTCAAATAATTTGATTGGTGCAAGATTGGCTGAAGGGAGTTTCCACCATATTCCTCCCACCAGTACATTCCTTATTATGCTGAAACACGTAGATATTTTTTATATGCTCTATGCCCAGTAAATAAAGGCGTTTTAAACTTTAAAACCCACATGAGTGCCTGGACCATGGATTCTTCAAACTATTTCACATTGTTATTTTTAATCTATGATTCCCCATTCCAGAGCAATGGTGGATTTTTTTTTTTTTTTCATACCTGTAGCGCTGACGTGGCCTTTTTGTTTCTCCACTATTGCCACTCCCTCAGCTGAAAGGGATATGTGTGTTTATCTAACACGATGTAAGTAGGTGCCCTTGTGTGTGACACTCTGGCTCATACTCGTTGTAGATCATATTTACTGGAAGACAGGCAAGCTAAGGTAAGCTTATGCACATTCAAAAAGAGAAGTCCTGCATTTCATGAACAATATAATGTATATGTTGACTGCATTCCAAAACAATGCATTTTCACATGGGCAAAATGCAGTGGTGTGAAGTACTGAAGTAAAATACTTTAAAGTACTACTTAAGTAGTTTTTTGGGGGTATCTGTACATTACTTTGCTATTTATATTTTTGACTACTTTTACTTTTACTTCACTACATTCCTTAAGAATATATTGTCCTTTTGGGTGTCAAGGAAAATGTATGGAGTAAAAAGTACTCGTTACATTTTGAATGCTTAGCAGGACAGAAAATGGTCCAATTCACGCACTTATCAACAGAACATCCCTGGTCATCCCTACTGCCTCTGATCTGGCGGACTCACTAAACTCAAGTTTCGTTTGTAGATGATGTCTGAGTGTTGGAGTGTGCCCCTGGCTATCCCTACATTAAAAAAAAACAAGGAAATGTTGCCGTCTGGTTTGCTTAATATAAGGAATTTGAAATGATTTATACTTTTACTTTTGATACTTAAGTATATTTTAGCAATTACATTTACTTTTGATACTTAAGTATATTTTAAACCAAATACTTTTAGACTTTTACTCAAGTTGAATTTTACTGGGTGACTTTCACTTTTACTTGAGTCATTTTCTATTAAGGTATCTTTACTTTTACTCAAGTATGACAATTGGGTACTTTTTCCACCACTGGCAACAATTTATAATTACAAGATAGGTATTGAACTTGTTATTCATATGTTGACATGACACATATCAACTCTTTATTTATAATTAAAATAGTACTGTAGATTAAATATTTGACATTGGAATTATACATATATGACATTTGAGTTACCAATGACACCATAGTGAAAACCAAAGATGGGGAAAACACAGAGTGTCCTTGAGAAGAAAGGATACACTATCCAGAAGGAGATAGAGCATGGTGTCATAGCTACTGACAAAGATGGTGACCAGTTTGTCATTAAAGAGATCAAACTGAATGAGGTGAGTGGGCACCATTGTCTTATTATTTGTTGTTGTTGTTGTTTATTTTAACATTTTATTGATCGAGTCAAGAAGTGAATGAGAAGTAGAATGTAAAGCGGCACAGTTGGCGTTTGAACCCATGCCTCCAGGGGTAATGTGTGGGCTTGGTGCACTACCACTAGATCAGCCTCCAGTTCTACTTTGAGAGCAACGCTTTCTAATAATGTGTGTTATTTATATATTATAGATTATTTATAAGGAATTTGGCACTGGTCTACTGGCCCTGTGTACATCATTACATGTCAGTCTCTTTTACTTCTTGAATTGTATTGTTTTACTGTAACATGTTGTGATTTTATATGCACTTTAAATAGTTAGATTTTATTTGGTTTGATGGGAGACAAAACTAGGCCTAATTTAGAAAGGTTTATAATGGAAAGTGTTTGGTTTCGATTGAGTACTGTGGTTTTTGCTTTAACAGACATCAGACTTGAGCTCTAGTGCTGGAGACATATTCTCTGAGGTTGAAAACCTCCTGCAGATAACTCACCCCCATATTGTAAGCCACAAGAACTCTTTCCAAGGTGAGGTGACTAATATTTGTGTTTATTTTTCATTTTAGAGAGAAGATGTTTGGGGTGGTTTCCCGGACACAGATTTAAACTCCATTGAGAATGCTTTTTAGTCCAGGGCTAGGCTTAATCTGTGTCTGGAACGTCCCAATATGTTTGCAAGTTACCGCAGTATGAACATAAAAACATTTTAAACAGAGGAGCTAGCATGCTATAATAATATATCTCACAATATTATATTCACATAAACTATGCATTTTTACAGATGATAAAAGTTACTATGTAGTGATGGACCATTGTGAGGGTGGAAATCTCGCACAAAAGATCAAAGATGGGAAGGAGACTGGGAACCCATTCTTAGAAGAACAGGTTTCTGAATGAATAACCTATTGGTTAAGTTCCAGGCCGACTACATTGCAGAAGTTGCATGCCAAGTCATCGACTGTACAGTTGGGCATTAGATTGCTATATCATATCTTAGCTGATATGCTCACCTATCCAGGCGTTGCGAGATCTGGCAGGCGTCTGCAATGTAGTCAGCCTGGAATGAGGCTATTTCTATTCATGACTGCATCAAAACTATTTTGTTTCATGTTAAACATAAATTATGCACTGGAATTCTTCCCAGATCATGGACTGGCTTGTTGAGATCTGCATGGCACTGAAGCATTTACACGGCCAGGGCCTTCTTCACAGAGACCTGAGACCCCAGGTACACACTGGTATGCTAAGTGGTTTACAACCCTCTCCTCAGGGACCCCCAGCAATTCCATGTTTTTGATCTATTCCAGAACTGCATTGAAAAATGTCTGGGAGTCACTGAGGAAAGGTTTGAGAAATAATAATGAACTGGCGGATTTATTTAATTTTGTACATATTCATGATATTTTTGAAAAGACAAGGGTTAAAGGTCCAATGCAGCCATTTTTATCTCAATATCAAATCATTTCTGGGTAACAATTAAGCACCTTACTGTCATTGTTTTCAATTAAAATGGTCAAAAAGAAACAAAAATAGCTTCTAAGCAATAAGCAATTTCTCAAGGAAGAATTGTGCTAGTACTGTCTAGCAGTGGTCTGAGTGGGGAGGGGAAAACTGAAGTAGCTGTTATTGACAGAGAGGTTTGGAACTCTCTTTCTTATTGGTCTATGATGTCACCAGACAGCCCAAAACATCCCACCAAAACAGGCAAACATTTCAGGCAGTCTTTTCAAACAGCTCTTACAGAAAAAGGGCATTCTCATCATTTTCACAATTTCACAGTATTATTCCAACCTCATTGTGTGGAAATATATATAAAACACAGGACATTTTTTAAAGTTTTTGACTGCACTGGGCCTTTAATGAAAGTTTTCCAGAATACAATTAACTGTATATTTTATTTGATGTGATATAAATGGTTAATTTCTTGTTTTTTCTCACTCAACAATTCTAAATATATCTTTTTTTTTCTACACTAGAATATATTTCTCACAAAATTTGGGACACTTTGTTTGGGAGATTTCGGAAGAGTCAATGAAAAGTATGGTACTTTTTGGATAATAATAAACTGGTCAAAATGTATTTTAATACATAATAGAGTTACATCCTGTTTGATGACTGTCTGCTAATGTGTTTCTTTCCTACCAGTGCTACCAGTTCTTCAGAGGATGGAGCAGTGGCTTATTTAGGCCCAGAGATTCTGACAGGGGGAATTTATGAAACCAAAAGGTAAATTCAAAACTACAACCAACAAAAATATATTAAAGGGGAACTTCAACCCTGTGACATCATATGGTTGACCGAAGCAAAGACTCAATTTCTAATAGTGTTAGACATTTGCCTTCAATGTGAAGTTACCATGGATAATGATATATTAATGTATTTTCCATCCTCTGCAGTGATATTTGGTCCATGGGATGTGTGCTGTATGAGTTGTGTATGCTTCAGTGTGCAGTAAGTAACACCTCTATCTCCATATTTGCCTCTTGCTAATGCAAAATGCGGTGTGATATTAACCGGTCTTTCTTGACAGTTCGCTGCAGCAAGCCCAATCAAGCTCATCCCCCAAATATTGGGAGGTTCTTACCCATCTCTCCCAGAGAGCTTCTCATCTGAGCTCCGCGACCTCCTGTGTGACATCTTCCAACAAGACCCGACCATTAGGCCTTCAGCTGGTGAAATTATGGCAAAACCATTCATTATCATTTTCCTCACAAAAAAGGTTCGCAATACAAGATCATATGATCAAATCGTAAAATGTGTTTATTCATTCATTAATTCATCCATTCATCCATAAATTCATTCATTCATTCAATCACATTATCTGTCTAAATTAATTTTCTATAGAGTGAGAAAACTGTGGAGGAACTCCAGATAACCTTGGACAAGCTGAGAACTCTGGCAGACGGCTTGGAGAGTATGCACAAAGGCACCACCATAGGCAGTCTGACGGGAGGTGTTATTGGGGCAGCTGGAGGAATCACCTCTATAGTGGGGCTCATCCTGGCTCCCTTCACTCTGGGCGCCTCCCTGATCGTCACTGGGGTGGGTATTGGGGTGGCTGTCGCTGGTGGAGCCACAGCCGGAGTATCCAACATTACCAACATGGTCAATCAGTCCACCGACCGCCAAGCCATGAAGAACATCATCAAGGAGTTCCAGGAGAAGTTTAACTCTCTGGTGACATCTCTACAAGACATCGCTGAGGGTTTGGAGACACTGAGGGCAAGTGGCTCCTTTAACATTGGAAGTGACAATTTCAACGCAAATGCTGGGGCAAGTGCTGGGGCTAGGTTTGGGAGGGGCCTGGGCTGCATCCCAGAGCTCTTCAGAGTACTCCAGGTGGCCACCATTGGCAAGGTGGTAGCCCAAACTGCCAGGGCAGTGCGTGTGGCAGAGGTGGCGACAGGAATATTTTCCGCTTTTTTTGTAGCGGTTGATATCTTCTTCATCGCCATGGATGCCAAAGAGATCCACAACATCCGACAGGCGAAGGCGAATGAACAGTCTGGTGATACCAGTAAGTTAGAAGTGATGGACACAGACTCCACCACTGAGCTGAACCCTGGGTGTGAAGAACCAAAGGCTGAGGTCAAGTCAGAGACCATGAAGTTCATCCAAACGATCAGACAGACAGCTGAACAGCTACAGGAGAGCCTGGACGAACTGAGTGATGTCATCTCATTCATTCCTAAGATAGAGGACTGTTACTTAGACAACTGACACTACTCAGTTGTAGTGACTGTAAAAGATGCAGAAACAAGAAACAGAGCACTAGTATCGGCTGTGTGACTGACACCCTGATAGGCCTACAGGTTGTAATTATCAGCAAATTCCTTTTTCCATTCTCGAATGCTTGCACAAATCAGCCATGACTAGTAGGTCAAAGAGACCTAACTATTTATCCCAGACAGTGCTGTTACTAAAGCTTGTTCCTAGGTTGTTACAGTCAACATGATTTGATCTGTATCAAAGTGTGTTCAATAAAAGTTTGGTCTATAAATGTCTGCTAACAAACATAATAAAGGAGTTTTAAACTGAATCTACTTCATGTGTGTTCATTTAAAACATTAAACAGTCATATACACTGAGTGTACAAAACATTAGGAACACCTTCCTAATATTGAGTTGCACCCCCTTTTGCCCTCAGAACAGCCTCAATTCGTCGGGGCATGGACTCTATAAGGTGTTGAAAGAGTTTCACAGGGATGCTGGTCTATGTTGACTCTAATGCTTCCCACAGTTGCGTCAAGTTGGATGGATGTCCTTTGGGTGGTGGACCATTCTTGATACACACGGGGAACTGTTGAGCGTGAAAAACCAAGCAGCGTTGCAGTTCTTGACACACTCAAACCGGTCTGCCGGGCACTTACTAGCATACCACATTCAAAGTCACTTAAATCTTTTGTCTTGCCCTTTCACCCTCTGAATGGCACACATACACAATCTGTCTCAATTGTCTCAAGGCTTAAAAATCCTTCTTTAACCTGTCTCATCCCCTTCATCTACACTGATTGAAGTGGATTTAACAAGTGACATCAATAAGGGATCATAGCTTTCACCTGGATTCACCTGGTCAGTCGATCTCATGGAAAGAGCAGGTGTTCCTAATGTGTTGTACACTCAGATTAGATACAGATCTAGGTAAAATAAATATCGTACACCATATAATATGGCAAGTTTAATTAATTTGAAACTTTGCTTAAACAACGTGCATTATAAGGAGGAAACTATTAACGTATTGCTCAGTTTACTAAACTGTAGTTAATCACCTCCTTATAATGTTGAAGAAAAGTTTTTAATTAAATCACACTGCCAGATTACAATGCGTTTTACAGTATTTTTACACAGACTTTAACTATTTTACTCCATAAATGTGTCACCCGAGATGTACAGTATACGGGTCTTTCTGTGACTCTTATTCAATATCCCTTGTCCCTTACCTTCTCCTGAAATGGAAAACAGGAATTTGAACAAATATGTAATAACATATATTTAGGCAGATCATATATTTAGGAAGATCATATATCATATTGCACAACAGCTGATGAAACTAACACTATAAAAGTATGATAAAAAAAAAAATCAGTGTTGTTATTTCCTGTCTACACAGGACATCAGCAGATTTGCATGGGCAAGAGTTTTGGCTTTCCATGGTGACATCACCATACAGTAAATTGGTTAATAGACCAATGAAAAAGTTGTTGGTTCTAATCCCTGAGCCAACAAGGTGAAAAATCTGTCGATGTGCCTTTAACCCTAATTGCTCCTATAAGTCGCTCTGGATAAGAGTTTCTGCTAAATGACTAAACATGTAAATGTAAAATAACAAAGTGAGTTTCAAATCTATCTGCCAATAACAGCTAGGTTTCAGTTTTCCCCTCCCCACTCAAACCACTCCCATACAGTCCTAACAAAATTCTTGCTTGAGAAATAGTTTTTTGCTAAAAAGCTATTTTTGCCCATTTTAATGGAAATCTATTACAGTAAGGTACTTCATTGTTAGGCCTACTGGTCAATGATGATGGCACTTTACAATTCAGAGCATATTTCACGTTCATGCTCAGTCTCCATCCTCTCCATAAGGCTCTCACTGGTGCTCAGTCTGCTCTCCGTGGCTGTCAGCTGGGCTGCTTGAGCTATGACAATACATATGGAATTCTGTATGTTAGCAGCTGTTGATTCACATTCTGAACCTTTGAATACATTTACAAAAATAAGTGATTGTTCAAAGGATTTTGATGACCTTTGTTCTCTCTGTGTAGGACAGCAACATTCACCTCCATGTTCCTCAGTCTTTCCACTTGGCTTTCTGCAGCTGACAGTCAGGTTTCCATTGTTGTGAGCTGTGCTGCTTGACCAAACAACAATATCATATGGCATTCGCTTTGTTAGCAGCTGATTCTCAAGTTTAAAGGGGAAGTTCACTCATTTCTACACGTGGCCTTATTTTCACTCTTTCTGTGCTTGTAGTTAATCCCCCAAACAGTTTTTTTTATATTTTGTTTTGTTACAGTGAAAATTGCTTGTCACATTTTGCTGAGTCATCACTTGCCAATGACTACAATGAATTATGAAAATGTGTCTAAAGCATGTTATAAAACGCTACAAAACACTCCAAACCAAATCAAATTACATCAGAATCTAATTCTGGATATTGTCTGCACAAACAAAAAAATCACAGTGAATGATGCTATTAACAACAACAACAAACATATGCAAATACAGGTTCATGGGACAGTGGAACAATTTTTTTTTAATTGAGTGCAGAGATTCTGATGTAATATGAGTTGCTTTGGAGTGTTTTGGAGCATTTTATAACATGTTTAGACACATTTTCATAATGCATTGTAGTCTATGGCAAGTGATGACTCACTGAACAGTAGCCTCCATGTTCTTCAGTTCCTCCAACTGGTTCTCTGTAGCTGTCAGTCGGGCCTTCATGGCTTCTAGTTCCATCAGAAGGTTACACATGTTTGGCTGGCAGCTACTGATTGTCTTGGCTAGGGCTGGTGTTTGGATCTGAGAAGAACTTCACTCTCTATGCCCTGTGCCTGTTCAGGCTGAATCTGTGCCATGATGTCATTCAGGTTGACTTCTCCAGCATCTTCACTGAGCGTCTGAGTCCCAGACAGACACAGCAGCACCAGGGTCTGAGTCAGTCCCCCATTCTATAACTTGTACGTAAGTAGTGTCTGTACAGCGCGTTATCGACCCAGAACATTTAGGATTTTCTGCCGGAATCACTAAATCACTGGACCTTTAACACCGGATCATCGCAACTAGCTAGCTGCAACCAAATGGATGTTGTGGTTGGCTAATCAGCCTTGAGCTAGCCTTGAGTCAGGCCCATCTCCCGGCTATCTACCTCTCTGTCAACCGGACGGGACCTCCTAGTGTCGACACGGAGATCCGCCGATCCATCACAACTGGTCTGCCGACGTAATCGTCTGTGGTTTCAACAGGCTTCCCGTTGCGACGACCACGAAGATCCATCTGCTAGCCCCGGCCCGCTAGCACACGCAATTCAACAGCCGTGCTTATGATCGCCAGTGCTGTAGCACCAACTCGAACTGCTCTCGGACTCACATTGCTGTTCACTGGACCTAATGTTCACTCAGCTGCACAGCTGATGCCTGCTGGACTGTTCCTTTACACGGCACCCTGTCCTGTTTAATCTGTTTAGCCTCAGCCCAAACTTTCATCGCCATTACCAGTTGTTGTCTTAGCTCTCTCGAATAACACCTGTGATTGGTTTATGCCTCTCTCCCATGTCAATATGCCTTGCCTATTGCTGTTCCAGTTAGTTCTTATTATACAATTTTACTGTAGAGCCCCAAGTCCCTCTCAAACTGCTTCAAATAGCTCCTTTGTTCCACCCCCCATACATGCGGAGACCGGCTCAATCGGTGCCTCCAGTGATGCTATCTCTTTCATTGTTACCCAACGCTTAGGTTTACCTCCACTGTACTCATATCCTTCCATATCCTTGTCTGTACATAATGCCCTGAATCTATTCTATAACGCTCAGAAATCTGCCCCTTTTATTCTCTGTACCCAATGCACTAGAAGACCAGTTCCTAAAGCCTTTAGCCGTATCCTTATTATAGTCCTCCTCTGTTCCTCTGGTGATGTAGAGGTTAACCCAGGCCCTGCAGCCCCCAGTATCACTCCTACTCCCCAGGAGCTATCATTTGTTGACTTCTGTAACCGTAAAAGCCTTGGCTTATTGCATGTTAACATCAGAAGCCTCCTTCCTAAGTTTGAGTTATTCACTGGGTTAGCACACTCCGCCAACCCTGATGTTCTAGCAGTGTCTGAATTCTGGCTTAGGAAGGCCACAAAGAATTCAGAAATGTCCATCCCCAACTATAACATTTTCCGTCTAGATAGAACTGCCAAAGGGGGTGGAGTTGCAATCTACTGTAAAAATAGCCTGCAGAGCTCTATCATACTATCCAGGTCTGTGCCCAAACAGTTTGAGCTCCTACTTCTAAAAATCCACCTTTCCAGAAATAAGTCTCTCACTGTTGCCGCTTGCTACAGACCCCCCTCAGCCCCCAGTTGTGCCCTGGACACCATATGTGAATTGATTGCCCCCCATCTATCCTCAGAGTTCGTACTGCTTGGTGACCTAAACTGGGATATGTTTAACACCCCGGCCATCCTACAATCCAAACTAGCTGCCCTCAATCTCACACAAATTATCAAGGAACCTACCAGGTACAACCCTAAATCCGTAAACATGGGCACCCTCATAGATATCATCCTGACTAACTTACCCTCTAAATACACAACTCTGAATTCTTACCAACTGAGCCACACAGGACTACATGGAGAATGTGTACATGGTTAATGTGTTTCTTTGGGATCACCTGAGGTTAAGTCAATCCATGTGTGTGTTAACAGATGGCCATTGCCAGACAGGTCAATTTTCCAGGATACAGGTGCAACACAAACAAGTACCGGAATACTAACAGGCTGTTAAATATGAACGTTGTTTAAAAATAAAACATATCTGTTGTTTGTACTTTACCAGGGTTTACCTGTGTGTATTTGTGCATGAAAAAGGCTACCATCAGGCCAAGAGACGGATTTGGTGCATTATATACTTTTTATATTATAGCAGTTTTTTTAAATTAACTGATCTTTATCATTTTACCATCAAGAAACGTTCATGTATAATGTTTCAAAAACATTTCAGTCAATGTTTTATTAATAGAACCTTCATCTATTAATATATTGAAACTGATCATTTTGCAGTTGATACTATTTGAATACAATTTGTTTTATGAAAATAATATACAGATCAAATCATCCCGACGGTTATGATATAAAATGAAAATTGTCAGAAGTAGAGGTGTCTGTGATATAGATTTTGATCTGTACCACTTAGTTATCATAACTGAGTTGTACAAGCAATGTCTTAAGGATGAAAGTGAGGTTCTGGGTATTAAAAAGGCAATCTGCCCATACCTGACTATTGCAGAGAAGTTGCATATTAAAGTATGATTGGATCTGTTGTTTATGCATCTCGTACAATCACTGAGTAGTTCAGTTGTCTAAGCAACAGTCCTCTATTTTAGGAATGAATGAGATGACGTCACTCAGTTCGTCCAGGCTCTCCTGTAGCTGTTCAGCTGTCTGTCTGATCGTCTGGATGAACTTAATGGTCTCTGACTTGACCTCAGCCTTTGATTATTCACATCCAGGCTTCAGCTCAGTGGTGGAGTCTGTGTCACACCAGACTGTTCATTCACCTTCGCCTGTCAGATGTTGTGAATCTCTTTGGCATCCATGGCGATGAAGAAGATGTCAACCGCTACAAAAAAAAGCTGAAAATATTCCTGTCACCACCTCTGCCACACGCACTGCCCTGGCAGTTTGGGCTGCCATCTTTCCAATTTTGGCCACCCTGAGTAGTCTGAAGAGTTCAATGGGGCCTGCTAGGCCTTTCCCAGCCCTCGCCCCAGCAATAGCAACGGCCTCTGCATTGACACAGCCGTTTTCTATCTTAGGAGAGCTACTTGTCTCCAAACCCTCAGCGATGTCTTGTAGAGATGTCACCACAGAGTTAATCTTCTCCTGGAACTCCTTGATGATGTTCTTCATGGCTAGGTGGTTGGTGGACTGATTGACCATGTTGGTAATGTTGGATACTCCTGCTGTGGCTCCACCAGCGACAGCCACCCCAACACCCACCCCAGTGACGATCAGGGAGGCGCCCAGAGTGAAGGGAGCCAGGATGAGCCCCACCAAGGAGGTGATTCCTCCAGCTGCCCCAATAACACCTCCCGTCAGACTACCTATGGTGGTGCCTTTGTGCATACTTTCCAAGCCGTCTGCCAGAGTTCTCATCTTGTCCAAGGTTGTCTGGAGTTCCTCCACAGTTTTCTCACTCTATAGAAATGCATGAATACATTTAGATAAATGAATGAATGGAAACGTAGATGGTTGGATGGATTAACAGACATATTGAATGATTGATTGATTGATATTGCATAGCAAACCTTTTTTGCGAGGAAACTGATAATGAAGGGTTTCGCCATGATTTCACCAGCTGAAGGCCTAATGCTTGGGTCTTGTTGGAAGATGTCATACAGGAGATCGCATAGCTCAGATGAGAAGCTCTCTGGGAGAGATGGGTAAGGACCTCCCAATATTTGGGGGATGAGCTTGATTGTGCTCTCTGCAGTGAACTGCGAAGAAACAACTGTCTATGATCACACAATATCCATCTTTAGCTAGGTAGTGGACAGGCAAAATAGAATGCTTTTAAGTGGTGTTGGAATTATTGGATGTTGATCGACCCTTCAAGTCATAATTTGGCAACCCGAGTTTACAAGTTTTGGTATCTGATCTTTTAACTTTTCAGCTGAAAAGTGATAAAACAGAGCAATCTTACAATCTTAATAATTTTTATAAAATACATGTTTAACTTTGTCAATGTTAGCTATCTTAAGCCAGCTGGGTAGATTCAATTATCTCATTGGTTGAATAATTATTCCTACTTTATGAAACTATTTGACAGCACATGTGTTGTAAACAACTTCACCAACTGGAAAATTTGAAATTACGACGAGCATTTGAATGCAGGATTACTTACTGCGCACTGAAGCATACACAATTCATATAGCACACATCCCAAGGACCAAATATCACTGCAAAGGATGGAAAATAAACACATTAATTCTCATGTAATTATCATTATTTTACACTGGATAATGCTCACGCTTATAATGTAATTATTTTCACATTTATAACCCTGTTATAAAGCCTTCATAAATCTGTCAAACACATCCTACGATAACTGTGTGTGTGTGCGTGTGTGTGTGTGTGTGTGGTAACAGCCATGACAGCAAATGCAATTGTCAACTTACTTTACATTTTCATAATTGTCTATGCCATCCTATTGGCCTGGCGTATCTAACATACTGTATTGCTTGTGACATGACTTTGACATATTTTATGTAATTCTATGATACCACATCGTAAGCCTTGTGACAGAGGGTTCAAATTGCAGTAAATGAGGGATTATCTAACCTCAAATGTTTTGTTAGCTTTTGTGATTTCATTCTCATCTCACTTTAAAAATGTAGGGAAATTACAAACTTTCTTACAAAATTACAAACATTTTTTCTACCTTTTGGTGTCATACATTCCACCAGTCAGAATCTCTGGGCCTAAATAACCCACTGTTCCATCCTTGTTGGTAGCCCTGATAAAAAATATAGGCACAAGAGCAGAAAATAATTTTTTTTTTAAATATTGAACTACTAATTTATGTAATCAAAAATTCTAATCTATTAATTGATGTAACTATAAATGTATGTTCTGTCAATTCTTCATGAGCCTTTTATAATTACCAAAGTAACATAGTTTACATTGACACTTCCTAAGCTCCCAAATGAAGTGATTCAAATTCTGTAAGAGGTATTCTCTAGTACAGATAAGAAAATACCATTGTACAGTTGAGACATTAAGCAACAGTTTATGACATTCCATTATTTCAATTAGGCACTGATATGAATCATATCATAAGTTATTGCAATGATCTCTATTTGTATTGCTGTGAAGTCAATTTGTAAGTCGCTCTGAATAAGAGCGTCTGCTAAATGACGTAAATGTAAATGTAAGTCAACAATCCCCCCCAGATCATAACATGCAGTTGATTGTTTAACAAGGCTTTACATAAAACCTTACATTTCATCAACCCTCCTTTTTCTTTAAGTTTATTTCCAGGCTATCTTTAAACTAATAGCCTTTGCATGAGATTCTATTGGCAGTACCTGGGGTCTCAGATTTCGGTGAAGAATGCCCTGGTCATGTAAATGCTTCAGGGCCATGCAGATCTTGACAAACCAGTCCATAATCTGTGAAGGTATCAAAGGAATGTCTGCTTAGCCTAACATTAAAACAGTTGTGGTGTGGAATTTTCTAGTTATTACATTGGCTACCTTCTCAGAGTACTCTTCTGTAGGGTTAGTCGTCTGCTCTTGTATCTTCTGTGAGAGATTTCCCTTCGCACAATGGTCTGTCACTATATAGTAGCAGTTATCCTCTGTGAAAATGTATAAGTAGTTTGTGTGTGAATACTACTTGAGAATACTAATCGTGAAACATATTGATACTGTAGTACCTCATTTGTTGAAGTTGCTGATACTGTATTAACTTGTAATCCCAATACACTGTGTCTGAAACAAATGAAAATACATAAAAATACAAATAAAACAACAAAGTTAATGATGTAGTTACCTAGAAATGAGTTTTTGTAGCTTACAATGTGGGGATGACTAATCTGTCTGAGGGTTTCAACCTCTGAGACAATTTCTCTAGCACCGGAGTTCAAGTCAGATACAGTATGTGACTTATTGAAAGATAAGTGTTTCAATACATGTCATTATCAATCATTATCAATCATTATTTTTGCACCTGCAGAGTTGACTATAATTGAAAACCAATTGTGTATCCTATCCATCTGTGATCATACAAAAAAAACTAAGATGTAATCAATTCAGAAATAACAAATAGTTCCTACTTACCTCATTCAGTTTGATCTCTTTAATGACAAACTGGTCACCATCTTTGTCAGTAGCTATGACACCATGCTCTACCTCCTTCTGGGTAGTGTATCCTTTCTTCTCGAGGACACTCTGTGTTTTCCCCATCTTTAGATTTCACTGGAAACTGTGTTTCACTCATGTCAATTAGCAATATACACTTTTTTTTTAATCAATAAAATACATTTTAATATACATTGAGGTCACAAATCATTAGGAACACCTTCCTAATATTGAGTTGCACCCCTTTTGCCCTCAGAACAGCCTGAATTCGTCGGGGCATGGACTCTACAAAGTGTCGAGAGTGTTCCACAGGGATGCTGGCCCATGTTGACTCCAATGCTTTCCACAGTTGTGTCAAGTTGGCTGGATGTCCTTTGGGTGGTGGACCATTTTTCATACACACAGGATACTGTTGAGCGTGAAAAACCCAGCAGCGTTGCAGTTCTTGACACACTCAAACCAGTGCTCCTGGCACCTACTACCATACCCCGTTCAAAGGCACTTAAATATTTTGTCTTGCCCATTCACTCTCTGAATGGCACACATACACAATCCATGTCTCAATTGTCTCAAGGCTTGAAAACCCTTCTTTAACCTGTCTACTCCCCTTCATCTACACGGATTGAAGTGTATTTAACAAGTGACATTAATAAGGGAACATAGCTTTAACCTGGATTCACCTGGTCAGTCTATGTCATGGAAAGAACAGGTGTTCCTAATATTTTGTACACTCAGTGTATAAACAGATTGGTTTGCAATAATACAAACATACCAGTAAGGTGTATATGTTATTTACACAGGTTTACCTTTGCTTTTCTGTCTTCTGGTTGTGTTGCTGCATTACCTTACCTACGATTTGAATAGGAGTTCCAGTCTTTTATGCAGGACTCCTCCTCTGCTTACGTGGTTTGATCAAACAAACACACCCATATTGCATTACATGTTAAGCAATGATGGATCAACTATCAACCGGTGTGTCAGCTGGGAGAGACTATAGGGAAGTGGGGGCTAAACCAAAGCATTCAGATCATGTGATTTACAGGAACTCATATGCCTTTAGGCTGAAATAAAGTTCAAATGATGAAACAAGAGCTGTATACTGTTGTCAATTTGTTGATTTTTTCATGCTTTTTGTTGTCCTCTGTACCTGAAACACATATGTATTATCAGTTGAACAGTATAACAGGGTGAAATAATGATAAGTGTTTTCCTTTTTGGCACACTGCTAAAAATAAATGAAGAATTTATATTAACAGGTCAACAAATCTGAGAAAACAGTTTAACATACATGCATCAGTTTGCTATTTTTTAAAATCTTGTGTTTCATTAAAACAGTTTGCTAGCTGCCTAGCTCTGCTTACTAGCTGCTAGATGTGGTAGAGTAGTATTGCTTTGTAAGCTTTGGGAATTGTCTTTGGTTAAAGATTAATAGGAATCCAAAGGTAGGCTATCCAACTCATTTTGTGGGGAAAATATCATAGTCTAATTTAAATGTAATATATTATAGCAATATTTGGATGACAAGTAATATCAACCTGGCTTTGAGCTGATGGATCTAAGATAGTAAATGGCTGATCTAACTGGAGTCTTGCATGTGAAATAACATGACACTAGACTCATTTGTTTCTTCAACCTTGGTAACTGAAATAACATGAACATTTATATTCCAATAATGTTTCTCAGATGGACTGTTGCTTACCTCCTGGCTCCCCTATCTCCCCTTTAGGTCCAGGTACTTGTGACCCTGATGAAAATAATATACAGATCAAATCCCGACGGTTATGATATAAAATGTAACATTTCAGAAGTACAGGTGTCTGTGATATAGATTTTGATCTGTACCATTTAGTATTATCAGAGAAGTTACATATTAATGTATAATTGCATCTGTTGTTTATTCATCTCGTACAATCAATGAGTAGTTCAGTTGTCTAAGTAACGGTCCTCTATCTTAGGAATTAATGAGATGACGTTACTCACTTTGTCCAGGCTCTCCTGTAGCTGATTAGCTGTCTATTTGATTTACTGGAAAAACGTAATGGTCTCTGGTGCCTTTGTGCCATCTGCCAGAGTTCTCAGCTTGTCCAAGGTTGTCTGGAGTTCCTCCACAGTTTTCTCACTCTATAGAAATGCATGAATACATTTAGATGAATGAATGAATGGAAATGTAGATGGTTGGATGGATTAACAGACATATTGAATGATCTGCCCGTACCTGTCTATTGCAGAGAAGTTGCATATAAAAGTATGATTGGATCTGTTGTTTATGCATCTCGCACAATTACTGAGTTGTTCAGTTGCCTAAGTAATAGTCCTCTATTTTAGGAATGAATGAGATGACGTTATTCACTTCGTCCAGGTTCTCCTGTAACTGATCAGCTGTCTGTTTGATTTACTGGATAAACGTATAGCTCTCTGATTTGACCTCAGCCTTTGGTTCTTCACACCCAGGGTTCAGCTCAGTGGTGGAGTCTGTGTCCATCATTTCTAACTTACTGGTATCACCAGACTGTTCATTCGCCTTTGCCTGTCGGATGTTGTGGATCTCTTTGGTATCGATGTCTTGTAAAGATGTCACCACAGAGTTCATCTTCTCCTGGAACTTCTTGATGATGTTCTTCATGGCTAGGCGGTTGTTGGACTGATTGACCATGTTGGTGATGTTGGATACTCCGGCTGTGGCTCCACCAGCGACAGCCACCCCAATACCCACCCCAGTGACGATCAGGGAGGCGCCCAGAGTGAAGGGAGCCAGGATGAGCCCCACTGTAGAGGTAATTCTACAATTCTACTCCAGCTGCCCCAATAACACCTCCCGTCAGACTGCCTATGGTGCTGCATTTGCGTAAACGCTCCAAGCCGTCTGCCAGAGTTCTCAGCTTGTCTAAGGTTGTCTGGAGTTCCTCCACAGTTTTTTGACTCTGTAGAAATGCATGAATACATTTAGATGAATGAATGAATGGAAACGTGGATGGTTGGATGGATAAACAGACATATTGAACAATTGATTGATTGATATTGCATAGCAAACCTTTTTTGTGAGGAAACTGATAATGAAGGGTTTCGCCATGATTTCACCAGTTGAAGGCCTAATGGTCGGGTCTTGTTGGAAGATGTCACATAGGAGTTCGCCAAGCTCTGGTGAGAATCTCTTTGGGAGAGATGGTTCACCACCTAGCTAAAGATGGATATTGTGTGATCATAGACAGTTGTTTATTCGCATTTCACCGCAGAGAGCACAATCAAGCTCATTTAAAAAAATATTGCAGGGTCCTTAACAGGCAAAATAGAATTCGTTCAAGTGGTGTCGGAATTATTAGATGTTGATCGACCCTTCAAGTCAGCATTTTGCATCCCGAGTTTACAGGTTTTGGCGTCTGACCTTTAAATTTTTCAGCGAAAAGTGATAAAACAGAGCAACTTACAATCTTCATAATTTTTATAAAATACACTATATGACCAAAAGTATGTGGACACCTGCTTGTCGAACATCTCATTCCAAAATGATAGCCATTAATTAGGAGTTGGTCACCCCTTTGCTGCTATAACAGTCTCCACTGTTCTGGGAAGGCTTTCCACTGGATGTTGGAACATTGCTCAGGGAACGTACTTCCATCCAGCCACAAGAGCGTTAGTGAGATCGGACACTGATGTTGGGCGATTAGGCCTGGCTCGTAGTCGGCGTTCCAATTCATCCCAAAGGTGTTCGAAGGGGTTGAGGTCAGGGCTCTATGCAGTCCAATCAATTTCTTCCACACCGATCTCGACAAACCATTTCTGTATGGACCTCTCTTTGTGCACGGGGGCATTGTCATGCTGAAACAGGAAAGGTCCTTCCCCAAACTGTTGCCACAAAGTTGGAAGCACAGAATCGTCTAGAATGTCATTGTATGCTGTAGCATTAAGATTTCCCTGAACTGGATTTAGGGGGCCTAGCCCGAACCATGCAAAACAGCCCCAGACCATTATTCCTCCTCCACCAAACTTTACAGTTGGCAGTATGCATTGGGACAGGTAGCGTTTTCCTGGCATCCTAAAAACCCAGATTAGACTGCCAGATGGTGAAACGTCATTCATCACTCCAGAGAACACGTTTCCACTGCTCCAGAGTCCAATGGCGGCGAGCTTTACACCACTCCAGCCGACGTTTTGCATTGTGCATGGTGATCTTAGGCTTGTGTGAAGTCTGCTTGGCCATGGAAACCCATTTCATGAAGCTCCCGACAAACAGTTATTGTGCTGACGTTACTTCCAGAGGCATTTTGGAACTCAGTAGTGAGTGTTGCAACCGTGGACAGCACTCAGCAGTCCCGTTCTGTGAACTTGTGAGGCCTACCACTTTGCGTTGTTGCTCCTAGACGTTTCTACTTTACAGTAACAGCACTTACAGTTGACCAGGGCAGGTCTAGCAGGGCAGAAATTTGATGAACTGACTTGTTGGAAAGGTGGCATCCTATGACGGTGCCACGTTGAAAGTCACTGAGCTCCTCAGTAAGGCCATTCTACTTCAAATGTTTGTCAATGGAGATTGCATGGCTGTGTGTTCAATTTTATACACCTGCTGAGGGTCTTAAATTAAAGTGATAGAAGCAACGTGAAGCACTAAGGACTGTCATTCAAGAATTGGGTTGGATAATTTATCAATAGTTATAAATATGATTTGGAAAGGTGAGGCTTCTAGAGACCCTAAATTGTGAGGAGAGACACTAGATTGTAGCTTGGGCTAACCTTGCCCCAATCTCATTCTTATCAAAGTTGGTGTGAAACTGTTATAACATGTGTTCTCTCTCTTCCCTGTGAAAGTCAATATGCATGTGCCCTAGATCAAATTCGGGAGATCTCTAGAGACGTAGAGAAAATTGGCAATGCTAAAAGAATTGCATAAATTGGCTCTGCAAAACAGAGAGGCTCTTGACTATCTTTTGGCAGGTCAAGGGGGCGCTTGTGCAATCATTGGCGATGAATGTTGTACTTTTGTCCCAGATCACTCTTCTAATATGACTGATCTCGCCTAATACATTGCCACTGTTGCTAAGAATAATTCCCCACAACCAGAGTGGAAGCCTGCAACTTGGTTGGAATCCCTGTTTGGAAGTTGGGGATCCCAAATTGCCAATTGGGCTGCAGCGTGTGATTTCTTCTTAGTTTGTCTAAATTGTGTTATTTAACATGCTGTGTATGTGTGTGTATTTTTGATGAATTCACTCCCATTAATAGAAGTATAACCCTTATTATGATGATAGTATTACCAAACTAATTAGATTGTATAACCCAGAATGAAGGGTTTGAAAAGTGTCTGGTTTTATGTGTTGATTTCCCTTACTTTAATAGAAAGTAAGGGAAATCTATCATGGTCCAACAAACTATCATGGTCCAAACACACCAAGACAGTCGTGAAGAGGGCACGACAACGCCTTTTCCCCCTCAGGAGACTGAAAAGATTTGGCATGTGTCCTCAGATCCTCAGAAAATGTTATACAGCTGCACCATCGAGAGCATCCTGACTGGTTGCATCACTGCCTGGTAAGGCAACTGCTTGGCCTCCGACCGCAAGGCACTACAGAGGGTAATCCGTACCGCCCAGTACATCACTGGGGCCAAGCTTCCTGCCATCCAGGACCTCTATACCAGGCAGTGTCAGAGGAAGGCCCTAAAAATTGTAAAAGACTCCAGCCACCGTAGTCAAAACAAACAGACTCTTAGTAAGCTGTCTAATAATAGTACCTCAGCATGTGTTCCCTATTCTGAAGTGTAACCTAGGGAACACATATTGAGGTACTATGCCCATATTAGTCCCGCCTTGAGACAGCTTGCTAAGAGTCTGTTTCTTGTGTAACTCTGCTCTTTATTAAAAGTGAATATGCTAAAGGTGTTATTAAGGATTGGCCAGTAATACATTACTTATAACTAAGGCCTAATATATGGCTAATGAGACGTAATAAAGGCTTTAAAAGCTACTTACATACACAATTATAAACTACACACTCATTTTCAGTGTAGTTGTGTGTACACACAAATACTTCTTTAGGTTATCGTATGTTTAATTAATTACATTTAATTTTAGGTCAAAATAACTGAATTTTTAGCTATGATTTACTAACTCCCTGAATATTTTTTTCACAGTGAGACCATGAAGCAGGGCACTGATTACCTTCTGACCTTGTGATCTGACAGGGAAAAAATTCAGGTTGGCCTATAAGAGGTCTGATATGCTCCTGGTCAAGCCGTACAGCTAGGGTTAGTCAAGGCCCAAAGTATGGAAGAAAAAAGTTCAAAAGTGATTTTAGTTGTTGTTGGTTTTTTACCCACAGAGTTTGAGACAAAGAAAGCAACACTCTGAACCTGAGGACTGCAATCCTAGGAATGACCCCAGAAAACCAGTTTTTGCTTTGTTATTATGGGGTCTTGTGTGTAGATTGATGAGGGGGAAAACAATTTAATCAATTTTAGAATAAGGCTGTAACGTAACAAAATGTGGAAAAAGTGAAGGAGTCTGAATACTTTCCAAATGCACTGTACATCTCTGTCACAACCAGCCTTTCATAGTGGAGTGGAGATTAGTGCAACCCCAGAGAGACTTGGAGAATACCTGGGGATCATCAGTGAAAAACTAACTAATCAAAGCACAGTAATGCAACGCATCCAGCATATTAGAGTTTTCTTTTTTCCATCTTGTTCTAAGGGCGGCTTTGCCTCGAGGGCAGAAATGAATGCAATGAAGTGGTAAAGTGGATATGTTATTTTTTAGATTGGTACATCGCTGTTGCTGGGCAAGAACTGAATTGGTTCCTCTCATTGGGTGTGTGTGTGTTTGAAATGGGCATCTGACCTTTGTTTGGGTCAGATTCTAAGGTTGTCTTATCTTATCAGTAACTGAAACCAGACTGTGACCCCGTGGCTCACCTTAGGCATATCCCTGGAATGAGCCAGGGTTGAACAGAGTTCAAACTGGACCCTTTGTCTTTCCTTGGGCGTCTTCATGATTAATTACAGCATGACGGGGTGGGAGAGAGGGGTCGGGCTTGGGTATGTTTGAGAGATTGATTGTGGACCTGCCATGTCCAACAATCAATCTCCAGGTCAAGCCAGGGTGAGCCAGGGTGAACACGATTATTTTTACATGACAGGGTTGTTATTTGTGCAGGACAAGCCTTGGGGAAGTCAGATTTTGCCACTATCATAGACTAAGGAAGTGGGCGGAGCGGTCAAGAGGTGGAAACTGGAGACAGTGGTGGGGGAACCCAAGAGTGAGGGGTTTAGCTAAAATATATGTAAAATTACTATATAAACTGAGAGCTGGGAGGTGGAAAAATAGATGCTTTGCAAACCACCTCGGCTTTGTCTTTTGTAATAAAGTCTATCTTAATTCTACAAAATACTTTGGTTCTTTGATCAGTATAAGGACGAATTTGCTACAACATAATTGGCAACCACGAAGGGACTGGAAAAAGAGACCATAGGGGTGCTTCGCCATCTTAAGGAGGCTGAAGGAATCACACACAACAGTGGCCGCTGTAACAAAAGGTAACCAACATTCTTACTTTAGACATAGGAATTGTGTGATTCGCTCAGCTGATTCTGAAATGTCAGGTACCAGGGTCTCTCCAGGATTAAGGGCTATATTTAGGAAAAGTACAAAGTTTTTGTTGGAATGAGAAATAAGCATGCATGCAATGTTGATTATTGATATTTGTATATGAGTTACGTCCTGTGGGTCACTTCAGCGGGAACAGAAAAGCTGGAGGGCTGTGTGGGCAGGTGTTGTATGTATGTAAATCTAAAAATCCTGTGAATTCCGCTCTGGGTATATTAAGAAAATATAGCACTAGAGGGCTGCATAGACAGGTGCGTATGAATACCGCTTTGGAGAGCTAAGATTAGAGCTCCAGAGGACTGCATGGATAGGTGAGAAACCCAGGGGATGCAATACATTTGGAAGTTAGGTAAAAAGTAGATTTGCTCATCCAGAGTAGGTGGGCAGTAACAAAATAAAAAATCCTGTGGATACAGCCCAGGGGTGCGCTACATAGAGAGAGCGGTAGTTCAGTTGTCTCAATTCAGGTTGCTCAGTTGGTCAGTTTGATCAATCTGTTTGATTCGATTGTTTTGTCTTACTCGTTTTGTACAAGACTGGTTTTATTGGACCTGATCGAGTTTGCGAAAGCATCCATT